GATAATTGAGTTATGGTCATTCAACTTCTACTAAGTTTTACTTAAAACCCCCAAACTTTAAATTCAATCAATTTAATCCCTAAAACTATAAACTAAAGGACACTAATTTTTAAATTATTCACTAAGGTATGTGAGTTGTTACATATATGTTGCTCAAAAGGTGCCACATTTTTGGTAGCCAGCTCCAGTGAGTATTTTTAGCAACATGAGCCATGTCGGTGAAGCCATACTTTCAATGACAAAGAGTATGTTGTTGAAAAGGGTGCAAAATTCTGGTCACCGGCTTCAATAACTTTTTTAGCAATATGAGCCACGTCGGTGAAACTCCATCTTCAACAACAAAGGGTATGTTACTAAAAAGAGTGCCATGAATTAGCAACAAGCTTCACATTGCTAATGTATTACCCACCAAGGCTTTTTCAATAAAGACATTAGCAACAAGAAACATGTTGCTGAAGTAATACATCAGCAACATGGAAGCACTTTCACCAACATCCTCCCATGTTGCTGACAAATAGATTTTTAGTAGTGTCCCATTGTGTAATCCAAGATTAAAAAAAACAAATTACTTTAAAAGTTAAATTCACAAGAACACCAATCTTAACAACCAATAAAAAAAATCCACTTAAAAAGATTGGTTTTTTCTTGTATCACTTTTCTTAAAACTACTGAAAAATATTTTTAAATTCAGTATCACAAACAATCAATAAATATCACACATCATATAAACTAGGCTTAATGCACCAAAAATCCCTAAAATTTGCAAAAGGAGTCACTATCATTCCTTTTCACGATAACCCCTCAACTTTGCAAAAATAGCCAATCATGACACTTTTGTCTGAAGTTATAATGCTCTATTATCTTAACATTTTGCCCAACATGGCAATAATAAGCCCCAATTAGTATTTATAGAGTTTTAAAATTTAAGTGGAAGATGGAAGCTAAAAATTACTTATAGAGTCAGCACATTTCAAATGACATCTACTGCCCAAGTTTTAACAGACAATATCGACACTTACCAAGATAGTATTGACACTCAACCCATGTTAGGTTTTTAGTATCTTTTTATAATTTCCTCAATAATAAAATAATACTTCTTGCCTCCAAAATTGTATACAACAAGAAATTTTTCCTTCTTGTAATAACTAGCTATGTAGTCTTTAAATTTCTCCTTCCTATTTTGTCACAGTCCAAAATCGGGAGCGAAATAGATGCCATACACTTGTGAGACGATCCCACAAATGCACAAGACTCAGAACTTGCTAAGTTCATAACTAACAATCCATATAAATTTAGAACAATATCTCAAAATAAAATCTAGCTTACAAAAGAATGATCTATATCTCCAAATCTATGTCCAATATACGAATTGCTAGCCTTGTAGCTCGTCACTCCCCTTGGTTTCCCACATCCTGGGTCGCACTACCTGAAATGGTGGATGAGGAAAAATTATGTGAGATAACTCAATAAATAAAAATATGGATAGCTTTTAATTAAAAGTTATAGTATGCTAACAAGTGTAATTAAGTATCAAGAAAAACCAGTACAAGTACGAGAATGAAATAGACGTCTTTTCTATAGGCCATAGCCAACATTTATAAATCTTCCAGTAGTGGGCACAGTAATAACCAGTGTACTATTGTACTAGTAGGAATACTAGAACAAATCGGTTTCCAAGAATACATGTCGACATGTGCTAGCATTTATAAACCTCCCACTAGCAAGCATAGCAAAACATGACCATATTGGAGACTAAACCATGTAGGAGTTACAAGAAAATCCATAATTTACAAATCAATTCTAGATTATCAAAACAATTCAGTAAACTCCAAGTAGGCATGCTCAAATTAATAAATGATAACAACTCCATTTTAAACCAGTTATGCTTGTTTTTGTGTAAAACGGGTTTAGTCCTGCCATCACTTCAAAAACAATTCAAAATTATGCTTTTAAAACTTTTACTTTAAAATCCAATGGCAGTTACCATTTACTTACCTCGCCTTATAGGTACACAACAAGTTAGAATTTGAAGAACTCAAGGCGCTTGAAGTGATTTAGAACCTATACCACATCAAATGAATACTTAGAATATGCTTAAAATAGCTACAAAAAGACCTTACATATAGTGGGTTTACCAAGCAAATTTGCTAGACAAAACAAAGTAAAAAAATATGAGAAACTAAGCTCAAAACTACCTGATGAGTTGAATTTGAATTTATATATATATATATTAGTGTGAAATTTCTACCTTGATATTATTAATATTTAGATGAATTTTATGAGATATTATATGGTTTTCATTCTTTGTATGGAAAAAGACTTGAATGCATAATAACAAGAGTTTTTGGGATTAGTTGAACATCTTTTGAAAGTTTAGGGACTAAATTGCAAGAAGAAAGGCACTTCTTAGTGACCCAAATGAATAAATTTTAAGTTTTGGGACCTAAGTGCTATCGTACAAAATCTAGAGGACTAGATCTATAATTTTACCATTGAAGAAATTGCAAAGGGAGGCCAAAAGCCTGACACGGGTGTAGTGTCGGCACGTAATTCACAGTGTTGGTACCATGCATTTAGCATCCAAAATTTAAGTTTCCTATTCTGTTCCAAGTCTTACTTCTTTTGTAATGGGTTTTCTTAAACTCTATAAATACCCATTCAAAAATTAGTTTTGGGACTTTTGGGAGGAGACCAAGAAAGAGATGGGAGAGAGACGACCGAGAGGAATTCAACAACAAAAGGAGATCAAGACTTAAGATTTTATATCATCAAATTAGTTTTATTTGTCCTTGAATTTTTTTCTATGATGTTAGATACTTGTATATTTATCATGGAATTGTTGATTTTCTTTTCTTTAATTATGAACTGATTTAGTCATCTAAGATTACGATGTAATCTGATCAATTTAATATAGAGTTCTACAATTTTTATACTTTCAAGGTTTATTATTTTATGTAGAGTATGTATTATTGTTTTTAATGCTTTTTTAATGATTGGCCACCATTAAAATTGATTTGGAATGCATAATTGAGATCGAGAGGAGATTTTATGCAATAACTTCTAAAAATATATACCATGAATTGAATGAAACACAGAGATGGACCAATGTGATTTGTGCAACATTAGTGATAAATGGACTTAATTTTCTATGTAACTAAGAAATTTCACAGAACATATTGCATTTTTATTTATTTAAATTCACATAGAGATATAGTGGGTTAATAAGTGAAGATAGATTTGGTGTAACTTGAGAAAGTGTATCAAATAGGATAGAAAATCCCCTTGTCACATAAATAATAAATACCTTGGAAGTATAATAATGTAAATTTTATATTAGTTGATTATGGTGAAATCGAATGCCTTAAAATTTAACTCTTGGTGTTATTTAAAATCAATTTAGTTTTTCTTTAATTAGTTTAGTTATTTAGTTTATCCAAATTATTTAATTTCAATTGTTCAAATAAAATTAGAATTAGTTAATTTTGATACTTAATTAGTTTATAGTCTCTGTGGGACGATACTCTATTTTCATCATTATATTACTTGAACTGACTAGGACACTTGCTAAAGTAGAATTAGCTCATCAAGTTTTTGGCACCGTTGCTGGGGACTGTATTGATTCCAATTAATATTAAAGTAGATTAATTCTAGATTTAATTTGATTTCTTTTCTTTTATTTGTTTTTTAGGTGTGTAAGTTAGTGCACGACTCATTCTAAAAACATAGAACTTACGCCATTTGATCCTGAGATAGATCGAACTTTTCACCTTTTAAACAAAAGGAAGGAAGCTTTAGTTGTCAATCAACCTCACAAGATGGTAGAAGAAGCTGTTGTAAGAACTTTAAGAGAGTATAGATCACCTTTGATGGACAGTGTGGCCTCATGTATAAAGAAACCAGCAATACAAGCTAACAACTTTGAAATCAAGCCAACTTATATTCAGATGATTCAACAATGTCCAATTTAGTGGATTGTCGAATGAAAATCCAAATAAACATCTAACCAGATTTTTAGAAATTTGTAACACATTCAAGTATAATGGAGTTTTAGAAGATGCAAAAAGAT